TATGCAATCGTTAATTATCATCCCATGTGGCTATCTGGCTGGAACGTTGGTTTGGAAATGAAGCTCGACTTGGTTTGGTCAGGTATTCTTGTTAAGAATATTTCAGAATAGAGCCAACGACTACTATTAGTTACACTTATATTATATCGATTTAACTGTTTTCATAGTTCGACAAATCTTTAAGTTTTATTATAGAGGATTTCGGTGCAATTAAAAATAAATTTTTTTTATTATATTTTGATATATTTGATTGCGTTAAATGCTATTGATAATATGATATTTCATATAACAAATCATTCCTTAGAAGTTAGAACAACGAGAAACTCTTTTAATTTTGGCCGGACAGATCAACTTTAACAACACTCATCAAGCAATAGTTTTCAGGTTTGTGAGAAACGTAATCGTGGAAGGATCTTAGAGAAATATTACACCTTACATCCAGCAACCCTAGCGAGCAACAAGGTGACATGAAAAAATAATATGAAATGACTATATTAAACAAATGATGAGTTTACTTTACATTAACAAAACGACAGATGGTGCAGCAGCAGCAGCTGTCTGTTTCACAAGTGTCATGTAAATATATAAATATACAAATTACTGCATGCATTTTTTATTCGTGTCGACATTGAAATCTTGCTAATAATGATGTTGATGATGAAGCTGATCCATGCCTGCATCACCATTGTTTTGGATCTTCCCCTCAAAGGTATCCATATCACCATTGTTTTCGATATTCATCTACCGAATTGTAATCAGATAATCAGACATAAGTATTGGCCACTTCGACTTCCTAAACCTTTTCAACATCAATATTATCATATGTTATAGGGAAATTTATTTGGGACTTATTAAAGTCCCATTTACAGAAATATATTACTAAATATATATATATATATATATATATGGACTTCGCCCTGGTAAGTTTATGACATATACTTTTCTTATTATTACTGTACAAAAATATACTTTAGAAAGTAGTTAATATAAGTTATTTGTAATAACATAGTGTGTATAATGACTTATTAATAACTTAGTGTGTATAATGACTTATTTAGAGTGATAATGACTGTTTTAAATGTTAATTAAGTTAGCTAAAAGGGTTTGTGGAATAGAACACATTTATTTTCAGTGACATATATGATCTCATTTTGAAAAGGATGCAAAGGGATTTGAAGGAGAAAGTCACGTGTAAGCCTACTCGGTAAAGGAAAAAACTAGAAAAGAAAATAGTAAATTAGGGTTCTTATGACAACTATTTTGTTTTTAGTTTTTATTTAAGTTTGATATGCTTGAGATACAAAGAAAGTATATGGCACAAATGAGAGGGAGAAGAATGATGGAAGAGAGGGAAAAGAAAAAGAAATAAGGAATGAAAATAAAAAATGAAAGGTGAAAATAACTTAAAATTGTTTTTTGTATGTTGCTTTTTAGTTGTTACTTTTTATGTGTTTCCTTATATGCTTTTTCTACATCTTTCATATCATCCATCATTGACTCTTCTTCATCTCTCGGAACCAAACACTACAAAAAAAATAGTTATTAAACAGACTCTCAGAGTACTTCAATTACAAAGAATAACGTTGTATGTAAAGATAATATTAATAATTACAATTGGCACACTAATTAATGGAGATCAAAAGGAAAAACTATGATTTTAAGCTTTTTAACTTTTTTGCATGATGGAAATTGGGTTCCATTTTTATGCAAGTCTTGAACATGCAAGACGGTTTTTGTGTCGTCGATACAAGTTGCATGCATGATGAAGGCCTATGTTCGATGTTTCCTTCTATTTTCGACAGCTAACTCGATTACATGTGTGGCCCTCCAACACCTGCCTCGTTGATCGACAGATCCCATTCACGTTGCTTTCGGACGATGAAGATCATTTAGACCTCACTCTACAACTTTTGAGGAAGTAAAATAAAAAAGGAACATCTCTTTTATCTTAAAAACAAAAAATATGTATTCGATTAGCATATTCTTGTAATTTAAGTTTTTGGATTATCCCTTAATTTCATAAATCAAATAGAGCACCCAATTGTTTCCATCAATCTTCAAAGCTCATTACTTTGATTTTAATTTCCATATTATTTTAATTAGTTTTATGGTGCCATATCAATTGTTTTATGGTATTAGAACAAATTGTTTCACATGTGAAGTCCAACGGTCACACGTGTTCACATACTCCACGTCATCCTGTTTGTGTTTTTTTGACACATTTTGAGGGAATGTGTTAAGAATGAATTTCATATTGATAGAAAGAGTAATCTTGCATCGGCTTATAAGTTAAATTACTCTTTATGTTACCAATTAATTTTATGATGAAACTTTATGTTGATAATTCGATTTTGAAGATAATTGATGCCAGCTACACTAGTCCTTGACAGAAAATATGGGGTATAATGACACTCAATACAACGAATTCTGTCAAACTGGGCAAGCAGTAGTTTTCATTCTTTGATTTCTTTCTAAATATAAAATATCTTAGGTATTTTAGAATTGTTGATCTCTTCAATTATGTCCTTTCATATAGGACATTTTACGTATAAGTTCTTAATATTATTCATACTCTAAAAAGGTTATTATGCACTGTTAATTTTTTTATATTTAGAAAAAATACATATTTATGATGAGTGAGGAAGGACATGTTTAGAGTGCCACTAACATCTTCCTAACATTACGCTTAAAAGAACATTTCAAACCTAATAACTTAGAGCTCGTTTGGATGTGCTTTTAAAATGTATGAAAGCGCTTTTAGTTAAATTGATTTTGAGTTTCAAAAGCATTTTCAGTACTTCTTGAAAGAAGCATCAGATATGTGCTTCTTGTAGGAAGCACTTAAAGTGTTTTTCCATGATCCAGTTAAATTTTTACTAAGGATTGGTATCTAAAACATTTTCACTAAAAATGTTTTTAGTCATTTTAAAAGTAGATCCAAACGAGCCCTTAGAAAATTAACTTGATAATGCGGAAATGATTATACATTAATAGTCAGTTAGAGCACGAAGAGGTGAACAAAAGAAAGATTTTTTTCCCATTGAATTTTTAAAGTATTTTTGTGCAAAACATATAGTTAGGTGTTTTTGTATTTTTTTATTTGTAATATATTACTACTTAATTATTGAGGCACAGGTGAGGGTCATGTGCTAGGTAGATTAGCACCAAGATGTAATGCATTGGGACCAGTTATTATTTGAGTTCAGCTAGTTTCAAGGAACCGTAGAACTCAAGTATATATGAATTATACTGTTGTGAGTAGTCTACTTGACTAGAGAAATTTATATGCAATTAAAACGCAAATTAAAATAGTGGTATGTCATACATATTATATGTCGTTATGTGTATTAACTTATCAACTGCTTAAATGTCCTAATTGTATGCAAGTTTCATCTCCGAAACCACAGCAAACTGCATGATTTTCATCTCCAAAACCACAGCAAACTGCATGATTTTCATTGAAACAAAAAAAGAGAACGAGAGTGGAGATGAAGCAAGCTCTGAGTGTGAGATATCATATTGTACGTGTGGACCTTGCCAACCCTTTACTCTCGTGGTCTTATACAGTTCTTACATTGCCAAATCAAATCATGCGTTGGAGAATAACTTTCACGAGTAGTGACAGTATGGCTTTTCGATCTGGTCCCCCCGAAAACACACAAACCCTGGCTTGTTACAACTTACAGCTCTCACTTTGTTAACTACCATATAAGCATACCTCCCTCTGCCGTCAACTAAATCTATCTTTGTTTTCTGAACTAAATGTCTCAGCTCTCACTTTGTTAAATACCATGTTACCTATAAAAATGAAAAGGAGACCGTGATGTAGAATGCTAAAGTCAAATAACGTTACCCAGGAATTCCGTGTCTTTACGTTTAGTTTCAATTTAAAACACGCATTTGTCATACGTTTTATAAGTGTTAGTTGTGAATAGCTACTGAAAAAATGAAATTGTAACTCCTCTCCAAGGTCATCTCTGAGATTTTGGGGGCCACGGGCGTCCCTCCTTAAGATAGTCTTAAAAAATATAGGACAATGAATTGACGTTATAAAACAATCACTTAAATCAAAACAAACTTTAGCATTCACTGATTGCAAGTTTAAAAATGTCATTAATAATAAGTAGAAAGAGCTACAAACATAACGTTCACTAAATAATCAAAAGCAGTTCAATCTTAAACACCCAAACAAGAAAACAAACTTCAAAAACTGTAACTTTAAAGTTTCACTTGAATATGTAACATTATTATATAATAATACTGAAAAAATACTGTCTTTTATGATGTATTATTGGCACTCAAAATATCTTATTGTACTCTAAATTTTTATATTTAGAAAGGAAAAAATTACGCTTATAAGGAATGCAAGATGAGATTTTAAAGTGCTAACAAAATCAACTTTTGAATATAGAACATTATTTCATAACAAAAGAAATTTTAAATATAGAATATTATTACATACAATATTAAGTGACTAAAATTTTGAGGGTCTCATCAAATTTAGAACTCTGTGTGACTGCATCTTTCGCATCCTTTCGACTCCCCGTCTGCTCCTTCGATACTTGTAACCAGGGGTGAACAAAAGGATCTTAAACCGGTAAGTCGGGACGGGTCCTTGGGATACCTTACGTATTAAGTGAAGTGGTAATGCTAGACTACAATTAAAAATGATAAAATTACAGTCCTAATTCTCTTGGACTTGGGAGAAAACATACGGTACCCTCTCAACTAATTTGACTCCAAAACGTCTCAAACAAGAACCAAATAATTCTAAATTGTCACCATTCGTGTCTAATGCAACCGACTGGACTTTAAAATAATTTCAATAAAAATAAAAAAAATTATAAAAAAGCTTCCGATCTTGTTCGTGATAGTTTTCACCTTGGTTTTCGTAAAACCATAAGGATATTAGGAGGTGATTAAATTAGTTGGAGTTTTACCATCTCCAGAGTCAAGAGGAAGAAGGTGACGTGTAGGAATGAGCATACTACAAATATATAGTAACTAGAAAAGCTTCATCACCACCCAAAGCTAATAAGAGAGATAAAAGGGAAGAGAGTCACCTTAAATCCCCCATTGAAAATAAACAGCAAAAACCAAAATTCCCCTTCCTTTTTATCTCTTAAAATCCTTTGAGAAATATCCCATCCCACTCTCTGCCTTTTGATCACAACCCCACTTCTCTGCTCTTTCATTTGATCCAATTTTTGCTGTTTTAAAAAACGTCAAATTCTCTGCCAATTTGTTGACGGATGCAGATGATGGGGTTTCAGGAATCTTGGGTTGCTCCGATATGTAATTCTTCGTTTCCTAGTTGTTGGGTCTCGATCTGTGTCGATCGTAATGTAGAATTGACAAAGCTTGTTGAGCATGTGATTGTGTTCTGTTTCTGCTGGATTCTTTGTCTCTTCGATTACTTTTGATGTTTGATCAAGTTTTTGCAAATGGTTTTTTTATTTCTCCGATGATTTTCTGATCTGGGTTTGTCTAAAGCTTTGATTTTTCTGGATAATTATTGGCAAAAAAGTTTGCTTGTATCTGCAACCCCTGTTATTTATATTAAAAATATGGAAGTTAATTTTGATCGGATTAATCTGACCCGTGTCAGTAAAAACGAGTTTACCTGGATTATATTTTATGTTTTGATGTCAAAATTCTTTCCTTTATTCGGCTGTCTTTTGCCGGTTGGAATATCCATTCATAGAAGACTGGTATTCTTCTCCTCAAAGTCTCCATCTTTTAGTGTTCCTCAAGTTTGTTTTACTGTTTTAAGGTTTTGGGTTTCTTTGTTAACTCCTCTTGATTCGGAAAGTCCGAAAATTTTCGGTTTTTGTTCTGATCGAATTTCTCTGGTTTGTCGAATTTTGCAGATGTTTGATGTCATGACATGTTGATTGGATATAACTTGTTGCATTATATGTTCTTGTACTTGCTGTCATATAACGAAGTTTTATAGGTATGTTTTTTTTTTTTTTTTTCTATTCGTAGGTTTTGAGACTTGAAGTTGTGGATCAATGACATAATTTTCGAGGTAGATACCGCTGCGTAGATTCTCCAGTGAATAAAATTAACAAGAAAGTTTTGAAGTTTTAAAACTGTTGATGCTAATGTGATGTTGGATAATTGAGAGGAGTAATGTAGTAATTTTTGTCCCAATATTTCATAATTTTCAGCACTTTAGAACCCTGCAAAGCTTGGCCACTGTGAAATTTTGGCAGTGCCAAATGGATGCCACTGCGAGCGGAACCCCCACTATACAATACCATAACATTCCTGACCAGCCAATTGCCACTATTGTTGCCACTCCTGTACCAACATTTGAAAGGCGGCAACGCCATTGCTTCGGGACCTCCACCCCCGGAGAGTTCCCTTTAGCTGCCAACCCCTCCATTGTCCTCCATGTCCTTACTGCCTGCAATTTGGATCCTCAAGACCTTTCAAAGTTAGAGGCAAGTGACCTTTTTCTCTATTTTGGTAATGCAGCGGCATTTTAAGTTTTCAAATTTATAATGCTGCTGGTTTATATTTGGCTGTGTGTTTGTTGCAGGCAACATGTTCCTTTTTTAGGCAGCCTGCACACTTTGCTCCTGACTTTGAATTGTCCATATCGGAGCTTGCTGCTCTGGACATGTGCCAAAAAAGAGCTATATTTAAGCCAATGACAGTCGAACAGCGTCAAGAATTGAAGCAAAGATGTGGGGGTTCATGGAAACTTGTTCTGAGGTTTTTGTTGGCTGGAGAGGCATGTTTCCGAAGGGAGAAATCGCAGGCAATAGCAGGGCCCGGTCACAGCATTGCTGTGACTTCAAAAGGATCTGTCTACTCATTTGGCTCAAACAGCTCAGGACAGCTTGGACATGGCACAACTGAAGAGGAATGCCGGCCTCAGCCAATCAGGTTGCGAACTCTTGACCACTCCTCTGACCCGATTCTGTAAAATGCAAGAAAAATGAAAGAGAAATTGTTGACTTAAACGAAAAGTTAATGGAACTCCATTGTGTTGCAGATCTCTGCAAGGCATTCGAATTATTCACGCAGCTGCTGGGGCTGGCAGGACAATGCTGATCAGTGATGCGGGGAAAGTTTATGCTTTTGGAAAGGACTCTTTTGGTGAAACTGAGTACGGGGTTCAAGGGTCAAAGCTGGTTACTACTCCACAGTTGGTTGAGTCTTTGAAAGACATATTTGTGGTACAAGCTGCAATAGGAAATTTCTTCACAGCGGTGTTGTCAAGAGAGGGCAGGGTGTATACATTTTCTTGGGGCAACGATGCCAAACTCGGTCACCAAACTGAGCCAACTGATGTTGAGCCTCATCCTTTATTGGGAGCACTTGAGAATGTACCTGTGGTGCAAATTGCAGCTGGATACTGCTACCTTCTTGCTCTGGCTTGTCAACCTAATGGCATGTAAGGATTGTCTGTCTTCATCCTCAAACAGTTTTTGTTATTGTAGTATTTGCATTAAATCTTATATGAGGATTAGCATTGCTCATTTGTGTGATCTCGATACCTTTCAGGTCAGTTTACTCTGTTGGATGTGGCTTGGGAGGGAAGCTTGGACATGGGTTAAGAACTGATGAGAAGCACCCCCGACTTATTGAACAATTTCAGGTTTTGAACCTTCAGCCGATGGTGGTTGCTGCCGGTGCTTGGCATGCCGCTGTGGTCGGGCAGGATGGACGCGTCTGCACATGGGGTTGGGGCCGTTATGGCTGCTTGGGTCACGGGAATGAAGAATGTGAATCAGTTCCTAAGGTTGTGGAAGCATTGAGCCAGGTGAAAGCAGTGCACGTTGCTACAGGGGATTACACAACCTTTGTGGTTTCAGATGACGGTGATGTGTACTCATTTGGTTGCGGAGAATCAGCTAGTCTTGGACATAGTACTGCCGCCGATGGACAGGTCTTGTTTATTGCTGCTGTATTTCGTATTTCATATCTTAATTGAGTTGGTTTCCTCAACTCACATTGCAGAAAGTCGATATATGAAATTAATTTACGTGTTCCAAAATGGTACCAAATTGCTGCACATCATCTTACATCTGTAGAATGACTTCACCATCCTAGAAGAGATTTGACACTGTTTTCCTTGTAGATATAACTCACAAGCTTCTTGTTGCAGAGTTGTATTATGTGAACGGTTATTTGTTTTCACCGGTTTGGGGCATTGCATAGGATGAAAGGCCGTCCAGTCTAACAAAGTTTCTGAATCTTGTTCGTGTGTTGCGTCTCTTACAGGGAAATAGGCACGCAAATGTATTGGCACCAGAGCTGGTGACATCACTGAAGCAAGTGAACGAGCGGGTTGTACAGATCAGCCTCACCAACTCCATATACTGGAACGCCCACACTTTTGCACTCACCGAGTCAGGGAAGCTATACGCATTTGGGGCGGGAGACAAAGGGCAACTAGGCATTGAACTAGTTGCCAACCAGACCGAAAGGGGAAAGCCAGAGCTGGTCGATATTGATCTCAGATAGAGTTCATCGATATCGTCGGCTTTCCCGGCCACACCCTAATGCTCTATATCCTCTAATTTACCATCATAACTCATTGCATTTGACGTTTGCATTTCCATGTCTATTGTGTACATAGGAACAAAGAATTGTGAAGTTTCAAGTTTATTAGGTTAATAGGGGCTTAAAACAGATTGCTAAATGGTTGTTTATATCTCTGAAAATTTGGCTTGCTCTTAGGCTTCAAGTAGTTGTTGATAGCTGATGATACATTTGTCAAGGTTCATTTCATGACTTATTTCATGTCAATTAAATTTATGATTTATTTGCTGGGGTGAAAAGTGAAAGATGTTCATGCATCACTTTCCCTTTTTCTTTAAGTATTGTGATACACAAGTACACTTGGGTCACTGTCCTTGTTAATTGTAGGGGCCACTGTCCACTTGGGTCACTAAACTAAGTTTTTAGTCGGGAACAAGGTAAACTTACGTGTAACTGTGACGTTACTGTGTCATTGTTTTAACATTTCCACATAGCAATGGTAGCGTATGATTGGATCGAAATATCTGCACTTGATGTTCCAATTGCATGCAAGTTTTTTTGTGGTGGGAAATTTGAGCATTTGTGTGGAAATTTTGTTCCTGTTTGCATTAGAATGGAGTGGTGAGAGTCGACTGTCAACTTGGATATGCTACTCATTTTCGTTACCGGATTTGGATGGTTAAGGAATTGGGAAGGGAAGTTTGTTTAGGCTTTCTTGTGCATGATGGTGGCTGAAAAAACCCACAAAGCAAAGGAAGTTGGAGGCCCAAACAAGAGAGTTGCTACCCACCCGTGGGGTAAGGGTGCTCACTAAGAATTAGGATTTGGCTTTGCTTCCTTCTAATAACTAGGATTTGGATCCTCTTCGAGGCAACTGGTCGAAATCCTTCTGATCAGTGTTAGTGAACCGTTGGATAAAAATCCAACGGCTACAAACAGAAGGTTCTCTAAAAGTTATAATAATTGTAACCGTTGGATAAAAATCTAACGGTCCGCTAACACTGGTCAGGAGGATCCGACCAGTTGCCTCGGAGAGGATCCAAATCCTATTAACTAATCACTTTAATGCCCAACAAAACATTTTGAGTATCTGGATATGGCTCATTAATTGAGTGTGCATTTCGTTTTAAGGCCCATTAGTTTTACATAATTTGACAAAATCACTCCCAAAATATCGCTTCTTCAATCTTTCTTCTTCGTGAAACAGATAAATTCAACAAAAGTTAAACAACATCGACATCTTTCAGTTCAACTCTATCACTCGATCCTTAGTCTCAGGCCATCATGAGGCGGAGATCAGAGTTGGTTTGTGGCAACTCATGAAAAAACCTTTATTTTTTTAGCGAAATGATCTCTTTTTTTTTTTAAGTCTGAAGTTAGTATGTTTTTCTTAAAATAATAAGAGACTCATTAACCCTCTCTTCCCATTCATTTTATAAATAGGAGCTTCTGATCCTATATATATATAAAATTTAACTTTTTGTTCTATTTTAATTTTTTTTGTCAAACAACTCTATTTTATCGACTATAACAACATTCTAGTGGAATAGGGTGTTGGCTTTTCGCCCATCGTCTCTAGTTCGAAACTCCCCCCCCCCCTCCCTTGTATTATTGTAATAGTTTTGAAACCTTTCCTACCCTTAGTAATAATAATTAAAAAAAAAAAAAAAAAAAAAAACCTATAACAACATTGACGCAATTAAAAGAACACTAAAGGACGGAGCATGTACATTAAGCACAAAATGTTTGGGTCAACCAAGGGCTCGAAAAAATGCCTCACCAAAAAAATTAGAAAAGATAATTTGATGATGCGCACTATTGTTGGAGAATGGAGTCATGCATCATCCACTACTTAGTTGTGCTCCACTGAGCCATTGTTTAACTTTGCCCTGAGTGATACTACTAAATAGTAAACACTTGTAAGTATTGTGAATTTTTGTTGCACCCACTCACTTATTTTAGCTTTTTGTATGCAAATTCCTCTTTTCTATATAGTTATCATTTTTATTAAAAAAATATAAAAATCTTTGTAAACTCAATCATTTGATCCAAAGTTATTAATTTATTTTGTAATAGTATGAATAAAATACGACGTCTCAGAAATTATTATTTATTTTTGTTTCCCATTGTATCTACAGATTAGAATGAATGAAGTGGTACATTATCCTTTTTTAGTAGGATGATGTATTATATTATAGTTTTATTTAAGGAATAAAAAGAGAAAGATGGAATGGTTATGGTAACAATAATGCAACTATGACTTTTAGTTCCGTGGGAAAATAAACTACAATATAAAACAAATATCAAGGGAAGGATGTTCACATCAACTTTGCACATGATCCAATCATTATTTGGTTATTAATTCTATAATATAGCTTTTTTTTTTTTTTTTTTTTTTTTGAAAAGAATCATCGGGTAGTGAAGCCATGACAGTTTACTCTTTTGAAAATCGGAAAGATCTATAGAAATATTTCAATCTTTCTCTAAGCTAATATTGTGCGATTCAACAGTGCCAAAAAATATAACTTGAAATCATGACTTATGCAAACATTATGTATTATTGTAATATGGTGAATTACAATTTCTCTTAAACGTTTGTGTTATAAGTTACGAATTTTATACGTCATGCAGCTGGCCTTACCAATTCATATACGACTTGTACACGACAAGGTCTCCTTGTACCACAAGAACTGCTTGAATAAAGTATTGTGGATGCAAATTTCTTCCTCCTTATTATTGGACAAAATTGTATCTATAAAATAAATAACACCTTAGGTCAAGGCCAAGAGCCTCACGTCACGCGCCCACGATGATTTTTTTTGGGGGGGGGGGGGGGTTGGGGGGGGGCTTTGGCCGAAGAACTTCCGATGTCAAAGTTAGAATTTTGAGGGAAAAGTATTTAGAGAATTTAGCAAGAGAAATGAAATTGAGTTTTGGAGAGAATGAGATGGTTTATACAGGGCTGTGGCCAGCCACCTTGAGAGGAGATGAACCAGCCACTTGGATGGTTTTGTGGGTGAAGTTCTTGACTTGTGTTTAATTAGCAAATTAATTGAATAATTAATCAATTAATTAGCTAATTAATATAATAAAAAAGGAATGATTTAGGGTTACCTTGTGGAGAAGATATGATGAGGGATGGATGAAATAGGTTATAAATAAATACCTATTTGGGCACTTTTGACTTGGTTGAGGGATGATTGTCTACTGCTCGCGCATAGGAATTCCGGTGTTACCCTAGAATCCACGTGTCACCTCTATATTCTTCTTGATTATTTTTTGCTCCACAAATACTATTTGTTAAAGTGTTTAAATATATATTGAAATTTCCAAATAGAGTAAGAGAAATTTTTGTTAACCATTATTAAGTGATGATAAAATGAGTTTAAATTAAAAAAATTTCGATGTAAAAATATTAAATCACTAATTTAACGACAATCAATATTGTAATGTTACTTACCGCTATTTTAGGATGGTGACTGGTGAGAAAAATATAGCGAATGGCAAGTAAGGCACTCCTTGATGCACCGTCTTTTGTTTAATTTGTACCAATTTGTTCTTTTATTTATTTTTTGCCATGAAGGACTTCGCACCAAGTTCATGAATCCTTATTCATTGTGTTCATGGCGTGTGTGAAAGAATATCTTGGCATGTGATGTGCAGGAGACTTGGTTATGTTAACTGCAGAATGAAACAGCACTAATTAATCATGGAGTATTGACCGTCAAACTCGGAGAAGCCCTGGTCTTAAGGGTGTTTGCCTACGGCTACTACTAACTAAATCATACACCGTAAGCACATAAACGAAGACCAAATTATATCATTATAATAATAATTTATTTATTTTTTGATATATTATTCAACGATATATGTACATTAAGGGATTAAAAAATAATCGATATCGAACACGTCATTCACGAGAATCGATATTAAAATCACTCACTTATAAGTAAAAAAAATTACCACAAAACATTAGTATTAAGCAGGCTGATGTACATTGGGACAAAGGTCGTCCTAGGACCACCCGAAGCTTGTAAATATACATGTGAAGGTTTTTCAAGGACCCTTCAAATGTTTGGTACAAGTACCTTTTGTGTCTACAAGTGTTTGATGTTAATGTCTGCTAGACATATCTCGACAGATGGTGTCAACAACATTCGACATATTCTCTTGATATCACTTATCAGATTACTTCAGCATATGCTGATATCTGTTGATGTTGCGCAACATGGTTCGGCTAACCATAACAAACCCACTAAAAATTCAACGAAATACCTTAGTGAATAAACAAAAAAAATTTGCGCACTTCGTACGCTGTGATATTAAGTAACTATTTACATGTTGAATCATACAAATATGAGTGGTAGGGAATTTCAAACCCCACCAATTACGTAACCATGGCCATGCATGGGTCAAGATTCACGGGCTGCGTTCGTTTAAACAGCGAAATAAAAGTCACGGACTGCAAAAAATACAAACGCTATTGGACTATCCACAAAACATACAAAATTATTGGACTACCCCGCAATGTGGAGGAAACACATTAATTAAGCATTTAATTAACTCATTAATAATGTTTGTTTAAAAGACGTACATATTGCTAATCGAATATCCGATTGGGAGGTGACTCTGTACACATTTTTACGTACAGTGGGGAACGACGTCGATCATTCTCTATCGGATGCCTCCTCCAATTATTCGGTTGAAATCGGAGGACAAAGAAACAAGGAGGAGGATTCTCTCCCCTCCTAATCTTTCTTCCCTTCCTTCTTCTCCTACTTGAATGGTTACAATTAAGTCATATCAACATCTTATATTAATTTTTTTATAGAAACAATATGATAAAAAACAAACTGTAAAAGAAGGGAAGGGAAGAAGATGAAAGAATCCTACTCCAAAAAACAAAGCTTTAATTTCCTCCCCCACACTTGTTCTTTCCCTGCAGCTTTGTGCAGATCACATGCTCGTTCATACGTAGACCCAGTTTTAGTAATTTGCATGCCTTATTTATGGGGTATGCGATTCTTCTGAGACGCGTACGTAAGTACGTACGTACGTTGAAGGATCAATCTAGTTTTGTAACTAGCTAGACTGTCGGTGACGAAAATGGATCACATCTTTTATAAATTTATGGTACAAAAGTGCTCGCGATTTGTCAATGCACAAAAAACTATATCTGCATATATTTTTTTACAGACAAACTGACCAGTTTTTTAGATTAATTTTACAAACCATGTAATGTATCACAAATATAAAATTAATACGTTAATCAATATTTAAGTC